AGCTCGCCGACATGCAGATTACCTGTTGGCATCGCGGTCGTCGGCCACACTGCCCACTGCACCCTCTCGAGGTGCGCCGCCAAAGTGTCAGCCCGGCTGTCGCTATCCACGACCTGGCCCGCTTCGTTCTTGAGTCCCCCCTGTAGCGGGCAAAACCCTTTCCTGAGCTTTCTGATCTCGCCCCAGTCTCCGTTCGCCGTTAGCTCCTGCAGCCAGGCTGCCCGGTCGGCAGCAACAGCCTTTTTGATATGCTTCGCTAGTTTCTTCTCTTCAGCTATATCTCCTGTCTGTCGAGCTGCCACGCGGCGGTCTACCAGCTGCAAGGTTGAAGGGCGCGTCCAAGGCTTCCTGGGCGTCGCGTCTGCCGCGGCAAAGGCTGTTCCGAGGCGTTGTGGAATCCTTTTGCGAGCTGGCACCAGGCTAGGTTCACTTCGTCGTGGTCAGGCGTCCCATCGGCGAAAGCCTCGAGCACGTTAGCAAGCTTGTCCGTGAATCGCTGCCGGGTCTTGATGTCGGCCAGCTGCGACACGTCTGCCTTGGCGCTCTCAGTATTCGCGTGCGTCTTCTCCACCTTCGTGTGGACACGTGCCTGAAGCAAGGCATGGTGAGATGAGAGCGGCATGTCCCGTCGCACGGTCACAGTGAGCACGTTCTGCAGCCCATTTTGGGCACACAACAGAACATCTATCTGGGAGTGCGTACGCCAGCCAACTGGTTCGCCGACAGGGCGCCCCACATTATAGTTCGTGGCCAAGTCCTGTTGTTGAGCGGAGAAAAACGTGTTGGACAAACACAATTTCAGTTGCGTGCACATCTCCACCAATAGGTGCCGATTCGCGTCAGCACGAACGACCTGTCCAGGGTGCTGGAACACGTGTTGGCCGATATCCTGGCGTCGTCGCCGAGTCGATCGTACAATTTGGCATTGAAGTCCCCCAGGATCATCTTCGGACCATGCGAAGACTGAGTCTGAACAAGTTCGCCAAGATCATGGTATAACCCTTGTCGCTCTGGATATTCAAACCCACTGTGCGGAGCGTAAACCGAGAAAATCACAGCCTTGCCCCCAGATAGGCGTAATTTCAGTGAGGACATTCGATCAGAGAGAAGTGGCAAAATCCGACAATTGACTGTCTGAAGACGTGGTCAATGATGAATCCCACTCCTGCCCTCTCTTCCCATTCCGCCCCGCCAGCGCCACCGGACAGCACGACGAGGTACCCGGTCTCACTCACGAACGTGTCTGACTTTGGCCTCCAAGTTTCTTCGGTGCGCAAGACGTTGATGCCGCAGCGTTGCATCGTGACCTCTAGTTGTACTTGTTTGGCTTCGGTATATCCTTTGCGCTCCAGGATGCTAGCGTGAACTCTTCGTCTCGCACAGGTCGCAAACAGCGACCCCGTATAGCATGCAATGGCAATGTGGCTTCGCCACTCCATCGCCCCTGGTCTGTGGGAAGCTGTGTGTAGTGCCGTTTTTAACACATGCTCCGCGTGCGGATCATGCATTAAACATGCAGGGATTGAGTACTAAAAGCAACGATGCGTTCACGCATAAATTTGTTCATACATTAATCATGTATTCAGATCTTATGTGTTTAAACATCCTATATATCAAACACTGCCCTGTACGAGGTAGATCATCTCGGCAATCAGGCGAGTGCTGCTGGCAAACGCCACCGCTTCCCGGTGAAGCATCCCTGCTCACGCCCCGCGGGCCCTGCTGCCGGCCTCCTTCTCCAAAGTCTTTGCCTCTGAACTTTCAGGAGGGAAAAACAGCACACAGACACAATTCATCGTCGATTCCCAAAGAAAATATGGGCAAATATGGGAAGTGGGGGAGAAGACAGAAACCCAGAAGATATGGGAAAATACGGGGAGTCTTCTTGTTTGTGTGTATTTATTTGTCTGTCCCAGGGCCCCTTCAAACTTCCCCTTCCCGGTACCTTTGGCGGGGTTGCGCTTCAACTTCTCCGCCAGCTTCTTCACCACGTCCGTGAATTCCGGGAAGTCCGCACTCTCGTGAGCCACGCCTCCCATCCCGGCCCATATCTGACATCGAGCTCCCCCTCGTCGGTCGTCACCTTCACCGCCATGTCCTCCCCTACCCAGACGTTGCCGGCCTCTCGGGCTGCCCAAACGCTGTTCGAAGTGAAACCCCAATTTTTCAAAACGTGTTTCACCCCGAAGACAAAAGAGGCGACGATGCGCTTGTGGAGCCCCTGGTCTGCTTTCGCCCACACGGAGTTGCCGCCCTCCTTGAGCGAGGCCTTGCGGAACGCCTCGACGGCCTCGTCACGGTCTGCGACGTTTGCGAGCCTGGCAAACACGATGCCCCGGAACTCCCCTTTGGAGTAGATGTCGATCGGCTGGGGCTTGCACCATTCCCAGAGCTTGTTCTCAATAAAGGCCTTCGCCCTCTCGATGCTCCCGACCGTCTGGAGCCCGCCGATCACTGCCGAATCGTTCTTAGACTCCTCGTTCGCGTGTTTATTGAGAACTTCTGCCGTCTTCATCATCGAAATCTGCTCCTCCAAAGCTCGTAGTTGTTGCCGTACTTCCTCATCGGTCCGGGAGCTGGCGTACGAGCCCTCCTGTGTTCGGCTCTCGTAGGTCGCCATGCGGATCTCGAGGCTCTCGAGGCGCTTCTTTGTGGCCTGCATCCTGGAGTCGAACGCGTCGCCCAGCTCGCCCACCTTGCACTCGAGCCCAGACATCGTTCCGCAAAGGATGAACCTCGTGCTTCAGTAAATTGGCAATCTGCTGTAAGGTCGGGGCCTGCTGGTACTGCTGGTACTGAGCCTTAGGCGCTGCTCCATGCTGCTGTTGTGGAATCGCCTCTGCTTGTTGATACGCCTCCGGCGGCGTCGTAGGAGTTGCCATCACGTGCACCTCCGGTCGGAGAGGGGAGGAGAAGAGGTCGAGATCGTCCATCTCATGGAGCGGTCTGAACAAGCGTTGGCGGACATCTCGCTCGAATATTTCCCGAACTGGGGTCCCTGGCGCACGCGTGCCGGCCATCGCGAGATATGGGAAAGGGAATGGACAAGGTGGCGTGGTGGAAAGAGTCAGGGTAATGCTAGAGAGCTTCACTTGAGCTGGCTTGAGGCTTGAACAGCCCTTGAGCCCCAGACGGCCAAGATGGCCTCCAAGACGGCATATACTGTTCCAAGATGCCTCCAAGACGGCCCAAAATGCACCGCAGACGGCCTTAGACGGCCTCAAGAAGTCCCAAGACGGCCTCAGAGGCCTCCAAGAGGGTCCGAAGAGGCCGAAATCGTTGATTTCGCGTTGGTGCTTGAAGGATTTTTGTATTTGCTACTTTTCGGCTTTCGACCGCCCGAGACGGCCCAAGAGGCCCCAAGATCGCAGAGCGCCCAAGAGGCCTCCAAGATGGCCTCAGGATTGCCCAAGAGGCCACCAAGACGGCCCCAAGAGGGCCCTGACACGGCCCAAAAGGCCTCTAGGACGCCCAAGGGAGCCTCCATAAGACAGCTCTGGAGCACCCCAGGAGGGTCCCAAGTCGGCCCAGAGAGGCCCCCCAGGCGGCTTCCGACGACGTCAGACGGGCCAGGAGCCCACCAAGACGGCAGAAGATGACCCTAAGATGGCCCAAGACCGCCCAAGAGGCCTCCAAGAGGTGCCTCCAGGAGGCCCGAAGACGCCAACATCATTGAATTTCCTTGGGTGTTTGAAGGATTTTGGCATTTGCTTCTGCTCGGCCTTCCCACGGCCCGAGACGGCCCAAGAGCCCCCAAAGATCGCACACAGATCGCCCAAGAGGCCTCCAGGATGGCCCCAGAACGGCCCAAGAGGCCACCAAGACGGGCCGAAGAGGGCCCCAAGACAGCCTGCGAGGCCTTGAAGACGCCCAAGGGAGCCTCCAAGACGGCCCTGGAGCACCCCAAGAGGGCCCCAAGTCGATCCGTAGCCATTTTGGCTCCAGCCAGTGTGGCTCAAAGCTCAGGCATGCTGGGCACGGCAGCGGGCAGGGCACACGCGCCATGGTCAGCGCCTGCCAGATCGCGCAAGCCATCATCAAAGTCTATGTGCCATGCCTGATCGGCGCATTTCTGTTGCAGGACCAGCCCCTCACGGCCTTGCTTGCGCCCCGCGGTCCGCTCGCGCTGTTCTCTGTCGGCCCGGCAAGCAGGCTCGACGCCGCGGCGCCGCTGGTGGGCCAAACGGCGGCGGTGGCCAGCCCGGCACCAGGGCTGGCGCCACGAACGAGGCCGACGCCGACGCTGACGCCGAAGCCGACGCCAGGGCCACCCGCAGCTGGCGAAGGCCACGGGCCTGCTGGTGGGGGCGCGGAAGAAGACGAGCCCCCGCTCCCGGCCGTCCTGGAGCACGGCTGGTTCCGTGATTCCAGGTGTACGAAGCTCGCCATCCCGCGGAGGGGTGCCCCCAGCAACATAGACGTCTGGCGTCCCAACGGGTCTTGCCTCCATACAGATGGAAGCAAGGAGTCGTACCAGTTTGTCTGCAGCGCGTCCCTTGGGCTCGTGTTCGTGCAGAAGATGGACCGAGATTGCAACAGGTTGAAGCAGCAGAATGCCATAGCGCCCGAGATGTGGCAGCGCATAAAGCGGGGCGAGTGCATCTTCTATGGCACCGCCGAGATGGGCAACGACGTGTACAGCCAGCTGAACACGACGCTGCCAGCATCGTACGGAGTGGGCTGCGCGGCCTTCCCCCCCCCCGCGGCCTTCTATCGGGGACAGGGCCGGCGTCGCCTGCCCTCCTGGCTCGGCCGCGCTCGGGGTCGACGGCGGGCGCAGGCTCGAGCTGAGCCTCCTCCTCCCGTCGAAGTTCAGAGACCTCTTCGCCTCCGAGCAGGTTCAGCAGTACAGCTTTTGCATTAAATCGATCTCGGTGACGGTCGAAGAAGAACGAGCCCGCGAAGACGCTGGACAAGGGGACGCGCCGCGCACTGGACGTTCCACGAAACGAGTCTGCCTTCTCGGACGTCAAGCTGCTGCTGGCCGTCATGACGCCCACCTACGCCTGCGACGTGCGCAACGTGCACAGGACGACCTGGATGACCCACAGGCGCGTCTGCGCCTTGCGCCGCCACGCAGAGGCCGGGTGCTCGATCATGCCTCTGTTCGTATTCGCGAACGTCTCGCGCGACGCCGTTGAGGAAGCCGTCGATGTAGTGTTTCTGCCCGACGTGCAGCCTTCCAAACGCCTGAACAACGGCGTCAGGGTCTGGTGGAAACTTGGCAAGAACAGGGATATGTGGAGGGAGGGACAGTACAAGACCCCAGCGTGGTTCCAGCACGCCCTGCAGTATCCCTGGGCGACGCACATCGCAAATATGGACCTTGACACGTATCCCTTCGTGACGGCGATCTACAACGACTTGGTCCGCCTTCCGCTCCTGCGTGTTCTACGGCAGGCAGTTTTCCGTGGGGGGGGGCATGTATGGCGAGTTCTATCTTGTCACCAAGGACGTCGCGGCGGGGTGGGTGGACGTGGAGAACTTAACGAGGAAGGCGCGGCGTGCGCAGTTCAAGGGCATCGCCGAAGACCAGACGTTTGCTACGGTCATTCGTTTGGGAGTTCATACTTATTGGTTTGCTTTAAACGGCTGTAGGCAAGTTAGATGGGTCCACATGAGATAGCCGCTTGGACACCCTGGCGCCTTGCAGTGGCAGGCCAGCCCTCTTCTCGATTGTCCAGGGGTGCACACGGTGGCCACCGCGTGTTCAGGGCCCAGGGGGGGAGGGGACAAGAGCACCAGCATCCAAGAGTGAGCGCCCATGTCGCACGTCAGCCCAGACCTGTCTGCTGTGCCGAGTCAGAGCTCCGATCGGCGTGTGGAGATTCGCCCAGGCCTGGCCTGCTTGAAAAAAAAGAGGGCCCCAAGTCGACCCAGAGAGGCTCCCAAGACGGCTTCCGACGGCGTCAGACGGGCCAGGAGCCCACCAAGACGGCCAACGAGAATCTTGAGAAGCCCCCGAAGGCCCCCAAGAGGCCTCCAAGAGGGCCTCCTGGATGCCTCCAAGAGGCTCCCAGGAAGCCCCCAGGAGTCCCCAAGAGTGTCCCCGGAGGCTCCCAAGCTGCCCCCTCTTCCTCCTCCTCCTCCTCCTCCTCCTCCTCCTCCTCCTCCTCCTCCTCCTCCTTCACCTTCCGTATCCATTTTGGCTCAAGTCCATGCTAGGTCCGGGCCCCAGACGCGCCCGCGTTTCCGTTGCATGTCGATGGCTGATGGCGGCGCTCTGGTGGTGTGCATGTCTGCGCGGTGGTGACATGGTTCACCAGCGTTCTGCCGATGCCCGTGACGCTCGTGCTCGTCGGGCTCGTCGTCTTGGCTTTCTGCATGTTCCTCCCCCTGGCCATCGGTTCATCGCTGTGCCCGCTGCGCTGCACGAGAATGCGAAGTGCACGTGCCAAGGTCTTGCCCTCCACGCCCAACTTCAAGCTGATAACGGAGTGCGTTCTCATGGGCTCCGTCAGGCCGCTCTTCTTGCGCGTGATCGTGTTGGCCCTGATGTGACGGCTTCTCATCTCCGTGCGCACGCTCGTGCTGGGAGGGCCAAGCATCGTGCGCCCTCTGTGCAGGTGCCGAAGATTGTCGGGGGTGAAGGTGCGGCGGCTGCGGAGGCTCCGCGGCCTTCGGTGAGAACCCCTGTTGTTCTGCATGACCTTCTTCCTCATCGTGGTGCTGTGTTGGCGGACATCGGGACTGCGTCGCACATGCTCTCTGTCTTCTCGCTCGGTCTGCAGTCGATGTTCGCCTCCTTCCACCAGCCTGTGGTCTTCCGGATCGCAACCTGCTTCGACTCTGATATCCCGCAGGTGGCGTCATTCATCGCTGAGCTGCAGGTGAACAAACGCTCGTCTTCTCCGCCTTCCTGTTCGCCGCCTGGGGTGTGCGCTCCTTCTTCGTCTCCTGAGTGTGACGGCCTCTTCGACTGGAACATCGATAAGGAATTCGAGCTGCGGAGGTTCGAAGAGAAAGGCGTGGCGGGCGCTGCACCTCGTGCTGGTGATAATCTTCGAAATTCGGATTCTTCTCCTTCTGAGGCCACGGTCTCTGCCCGGACCCAGGCTGCCGATGGAGCCGTTCTGCGTGTGCATGTTTGCGCTGGCGCGCCCGCTGCTGCTGGTGGCTTCGTCCGCTTCCTCATGGTGCTATCGATCCACGTGGTGATGGCGATGCTCAGCGCGTTCTTCGGCTGGGTCATCAGGGAGATGCGGCTGCTGATCAGCTTACTGGTGCTGATGACGCTGGTGCTCTTGTCGAATGTGACGATCTCGAGTGGAACGACGACTTTGCCGATGCCGTTCTGCGCGAGCATGCTCGGGCTGAGGCGTCCGCTGCTGCTGGTGGCGGTTCTCTTCTTCGTCCTGGCGATCGGGTGGTTGCTGGTTGCGGCGTATACGATTTCCACTGTCTGAAGATCTTTGACGTCGGTCCGCGGATCGCGACGAAAGTGGCATGCAAGTATTTTCCTCTTTGCCGTTATGATATTGGCTGCAGGTACTCCCATCTTGAGGCGACCACTGAGGCTGCGGTTGCTGTGGAACACGTTCGGCTTTCTCGACTTTGTCCAGAACTTGCGTCGGCGACGCCCTTGGATGCATCTCTCTGGCGTGAGCGTGCTGCTGGTCGCAGTGCTCCTGAGATCTATGAGATGTCTCGGGGAATGGATCTCCCTGCCCCTGGTGTTCTTCCTCTTAGCGCTGTTCACCATCCCGTTCGTGCCCTGGCCGAGGCAGCTGATGAAGCCGATCTGCGTGAGCATGTATGCGATGTCGCGGCCGCTGCTGATGGTGGCGCTCATGCTCCTCGTTCTGGTGCTCTCGATCCGCATGGTAATCGAGATGCGCGGCGCGATCCTCGACTGTGTCTTCAGGGAGGTGCGGCTGCTGATCCACGCACTGGTGCCGACGACCCTGGTGCTCTTCTTGTGGACGGACTTCTCGGTGCTCGTCTGCAGGATGCGCGTGTGGTACCTCTTCATGCGGACGCCGTTCAAGACTCTGGCTCTCGTGTGCGGCTCGCTGTTCCTGCTGGCGTGGTGCTCTCCGACGGCCCGCTGGAGGTCGCCGCTGTCCCAGGTGGCGCTCCTGGTGTTCGGCAGTCAGACGTGCAACTGGATGAGTTCCATGCTGGTAGTGCTCAATCTGTCCCGCAGGATAGCTATGTTGACGATTCCGCACCTGACGAGCGACCTCGTGACGTTCCGTATCGCTGGAGCGACGACCCTGCGTACGCTGTCCCCCCAGTCCGCCTGGCCCCTCGCGTCGGTGCTGCGCTACCGTGTGGTGGAGACGCTTCGTGTCGTGGCTATCCCGATCATGCAGATAGTGTGCTCCGCCCTGATCTTGCTGCGACGCAGGCAGACATTTACGACATGGACCGGGCTTCCCTGGGTCTTGAAGGAGACGCGAGCCACGATGAGCATTCCGAACATGACTGGGCTTTACCGCATGCGCCATACCTACGACGCTCCGACCTTCTTCATCTTCGCGTCTGTAGTACGGCTCATGCTGGTCTTTCAGATGCGTTGGTGAGCCATGCTGGTGTGCTTCATCGTTCGCGGTGCTGCCCCGCGCCCTCTGCATCGACGCGCTCGCCTACCTTGTCCCCGCCTGCCTCAGGGACCTCCCGTGTTCACGCTGCTATTCTTGGGGCTTCGCCCTCCGTCGTGTCACCGCATACTCTTCTGAAGGGTGGCGGATCAGGGGCCGACGGCCGCGGCAGCGCGGCATAGACAGAGACGCGCGCCTTTCAGTGGCGTGGGATCCTCCTCCTTTACCTCCTCCCCCCCCATCCCCCTTCTCCTCCGCCCCCCCCTGATCTTCCCCACCATCCTCCCCCCAAGTGTTCCCCGAAGGGTTTCCACAACGGCTTGGGGAACACATGGTCCGATAGCTTGGCAGAACTCTTGCCGCGTCGCTCAGCCACATGGGCGATTCTAGAAGGCAGGGGGCGGCGGTGATGCGCCGTAGGCGTCTTCGATCGAAAACCAAAACGGAAGGATTCAGCACGAGGGGCACCCCTGTGGCAAGCCGACAGGGGGTGGCGGATGACGGAACTCGCACGTAGCGTCGCGATCCGTCAGTTGGAAGAAACGTCAAGGAGGGGGGTGGGGGGGGGGCAGGCTGCCCAGGCGTCAGATCAAATCGCCCCAAGTTTCGGCCATTTTCGGCCGAAGACGACGCAAGCTAGCCCTCAGAGCGCCCAAGAGGCCCCCAAGTCGGCCCAAGAGGTCTCAATATACTTCCAAGACGGCGTCGGAGTGGTCCAAAAGGGTCCGGAGACGCCCCAAGAGCGCTCCAAGAGGGCCGAAATGGTTTCAGGACAGCCCAAGAGGCCCCAAGACGCCCCACGAGGCCCCCAAAGGGGGCCCTCAAAAGGCAACAGTTATCCCATTCCCATTGGAAAACGTACATTTTCAGCATATCCGTTTCTTTGGTCTTCACAGCGTCCAAAACGGCCCAGGAGGCCCCCAAGACCGCCCCAAGACGGCCCTAATAGAGGCGCCCAAGACGGCCCAATTGGGCGTCAAACCCCAAGAGAGCCCGAAGACGACCCAAGAGAGGCCCTGAGGGCCCCAAAAGGTTCCCAAGATAGCCTCAAGCGGGCAACAGGGCGCCCCCCCCCCCCCCCCCCCTAGGGGACCCAGGAGGGCCCCCAGAGGGCCCTAAGACGGCCCAAGTCCGCCAAGACGGCCCAAGAGGGTCCAGGGACGGCCCCAAAAAACTCCAAGACGGCCCGAAAGAGCCCCAAGCGGACCTCCAGGAAGGCTTGGAAATACAATCTTTATTGATGTTCGAAAGGTTCGTTGCTAGATTTCTGTATGTCGCGCCGAAGCCGTAACGCCAACAGGGCTCCAAGACACTAAGCCAGCGACCTCGCGCCCTCACAAAATGAACGCGCTTTCCGTCCCCGTGCCAAGCAGGTCTGACGGCCTTCGGCCCACCCCGCCACCGTGTCTGGATTGTGGTCAGAGTCCTCAGGAATGTTTCTCGGGTCTCTTCGGAGCGCTCTCGAGGGACTCTTGGGGCCAGTTTTAGGGCCTCCTGGGGGCAGTTGTTGGGCCTCTTGGGGGCCTCTTAGGGGGCCTCTGAGGAGCCTCTGAGGGGCCTCCTGGGGGCCGCCTGGGGGCATCTGGGGAGCCTCTCTGGGGTCTCGTGGGGGCCTCCTGGGGCCTGCTGAGGGCCTTTCGAGCCCGAGGGCTCGCAGGGTCCGTTCGGGTCCTCCGTCGGGGCCCCCTCTTGGAGCCCTCGGGGGCCACCTCTTGGCCCAAGAAGGGCCAAGAGGGGCCGAGAGGAGACAGCCCCAGAGGGCCAAGAGGGGGCCCGTCGGGGCCCCCTCTTGGCCCTCGGGGGCTGTATATGGGCCCTCTTTGAAGCTTCTCGGCCTCTCATGGGGCGATCTTGGGGGCCTCTTGAGCCGCCCTGCAGCGCCGGGGGGCCGAACAGGCGAGAGCGCCACGCTCTTTACTTCGCTTGGCGAAGGACCCACCATATGCAGCTGCGACTGCCGCATTGTGGGTACAGCTTTCGGTGGAGCTCCTTATGGGGCCACGAGCCGTGTGATGGGCGGGGGGGCGCATGCGGACGCTGCCACTGGGGCCTTCAGTGGAGCTCCCTGTGGGGCCACGAAGCGTGTGATGGGGTGTGCCGAAATGGGCGGGGGGGGCGCATGCGGACGCGGCCATCGGCACCTTCGGTGGAGCTGCTTATGGGGCCACGAACCGTGTGAGGGGTGTGCCGAAATGGGCGGGGAACCGCATGCGGACGCGGCCAATGAGGCCTTCGGTGGAGCTGCCTATGGGGCAGGGGTGTGCCGAAATTGGCGGGGGGGGGCGCACGAGGACGCGGCCACTGAGGCCTTCGGTTGAACTCTGGGGCCACGAAGCGTGCGAGGGGTGTGCCGACATGGGCGCGCGGTGGGCGGGGAACCGCATGCGGACGCGGCCACTGGGGCCTTCAGTGGAGCTCCCCATTTTGCCACGAACCGTGTGAGGGGCGTTCCAAGATGAACGCGCGGTGGGCGGGGAACCGCATGCGGACGTTACCACTGGGGCCTTCAGTGGAGCTCCATATGGGGCCACGAAACGTGTGATGGTTGCGCCGAAACGGGCATGTAGTGGGCGGGGGGGGGGGGGGGCGCGTGCGGACGCGGCCGCTGAGGCCTTCGGTGGAGCTCCCGATGGGGCCACGAAGCGTGTGAGGGGTGTGCCGAAATGGGCGGGGGGACGCATGCGGACGCGGCCATCGGTACCTTCGGTGGAGCTGCTTATGGGGCCACGAACCGTGTGAGGGGTGTGCCGAAATGGGCGGGGAACCGCATGCGGACGCGGCCAATGAGGCCTTCGGTGGAGCTGCCTACGGGGCAGGGGTGTGCCGAAATTGGCGGGGGGGCGCGCGAGGACGCGGCCACTGAGGCCTTCGGTTGAACTCTCTATGGGGCCACGAAGCGTGCGAGGGGTGTGCCGACATGGACGCGCGGTGGGCGGGGAACCGCATGCGGACGCGGCCACTGGGGCCTTCAGTGGAGCTCCCCATGTTGCCACGAACCGTGTGAGGGGTGTTCCAAGATGAACGCGCGGTGGGCGGGGAACCGCATGCGGACGTTACCACTGGGGCCTTGGGTGGGGCTCCCGATGGGGCCACGAAGCGTGTGGCGGTTGTGCAGAAATGAATGCGTGGTGGGCGGGCGCGGCCATTGGGGCCTTCAGTGGAGCTGCCTAACCGTGTGAGGGGTGTGCCGAAATGGGCGCGCGGTGGGCGGGGAACCGCATGAGGACGCGGTCACGGAGGCCTTCGGTGGAGCTCCCGATGGGGCCACGAAGCGTGTGAGGGGTGTGCCGACATGGACGCGCGGTGGGCGGGGAACCGCATGCGGACGCGGCCATGGGGGCCTTCAGTGGAGCTCCCTATGTTGCCACGAAGCGTGTGAGGGGTGTGCCGAAATGGACGCGCGGTGGGCGGGGAACCGCATGCGGACGCGGCCGCTGGGGCCTTCAGTGGAGCTCCATATGGGGCCACGAAACGTGTGATGGTTGCGCCGAAACGGGCATGTAGTGGGCGGGGGAGGGGGCGCATGCGGACGCGGCCGCTGAGGCCTTCGGTGGAGCTCCCGATGGGGCCACGAAGCGTGTGAGGGGTGTGCCGAAATGAACGTTCGGAGGGCAGATGCAAGGAGGGGGAGGAGGGAGAAGGAGGAGGAGGATGAGGAGGAGGAGGAAGAGGATGAGAAGGAGGAGAGGAGAACGCGGGGCGCTGCCTTTTCAACACGAGGACCCGACACCACAGGATGCAGGGATGGGAGGAGAGGCGCGGATGGGAGATGTGGGGGGAGGGGGCAGCGGGAGGCGTGATGCGGGGCGCTGTCTTTTCAAAATGAGGACCCAGCACCACAGGATGATAGGGAAGAAATTTAATTATCCTGGCGAAGGGCCCAACCATATGCTCTTGTGCGTACGCGTTGTGGGTACCGCTCTCGGTGGAGCCCCCTACGTGGCCACGACCTTCGTGAGGGGTATGCCGAAATGAGCGGGGGGGGCGCGTGCGGACCCTGCCGCGGGGGCCTTCGGTGGAGCTCCATATGGGGATGCGATCCTCGTGAGGGGCGTGCCGAAATGAGCGGGGGGACGCATGCGGGCCCTGTCGCTGGGGCCTTCGGTGGAGCTCCCTATGGGGCCACGGTCCTCGTGAGGGGTGTGCAGAAATCGGGGGGGGGGGGGGGGGGACGCCTGCGGACCCTGCCGCTGGGGCCTTCGGTGGAGCTCCCTGTGGGGGCACGATCCTCGTGAGGGGTGTGCCGAAATGTGCGGGGGGACACATGCGGACCCTGCCGCTGTGGCCTTCGGTGGAGCTGCCTATGGGGCCACGATCCTCGTGAGGGGTGTGCCGAAATGGGCGGGGGAACGCATGCGGACCCTGCCACTGGGGCCTTCGGTGGAGCTCCCTCTGGGGGCACGATCCTCGTGAGGGGCGTGCCGAAATTGGCTGGGTGACGCATGCGGACCCTCTGCTGGGGCCTTCGGTGGAGCGCCCTATCGGGCCACGGACCGTGTGAGTGGTGTGCTGAAGTGGGCGGGGGGACGCATTGCGGACCCTGCCGCTGGGGCCTTCGGTGGAGCTCCCTATGGGGCCACGGTCCTCGTGCGGGGTGTGCCGAAATGGGCGGGGGGGGGGGCGCATGCGACCTTGTCGCTGGGGCCTTCGGTGGAGCTCCCTATGGGGCCACGATCCTCGTGAGGGGTGTGCCGAAATGAGCGGGGGAACGCATGCGGACCCTGCCGTTGGGGCCTTCGGTGGAGCTCCCTATGGGGCCACGACCCTCATGAGGCAAGGGATGGGAGGAGGGAGGAGGGGGAGGGGGCAGCGGGAGGTGAGGTGATGTGACGCATGGCGCTGTCTCTTCGAAACGAGGACCCCATACCACAGGATGGTTGGGAAAACATCAGTGACTTTTGCCTTTGGGGGCCCTCTTTGGAGGCCTCATGGAGGCCTCTTGGGGTGTGTTGGGGGCATCTTGAGCAGTCTTAAGACCGCCTTGGGCGTCTTGGGGCGATCTTTCGACGAATCGGTGCTCTTTTGGACCGTCTTGGGGGCCTGTTGGGGCCTCTCGGTTCGTTTTTTTGGGCCCCGTTGAGTCTGAAGCAGTCACGCGACAGGACGCGACAACCCCCAGAGTCCACCCGACGCGCCCTCTGGGGCAATTTTGGGTCGGGGCCCCTAACAAAAATCTCAGGAGTGAGGACTGAGGCGTGAGGGATGAAGCCACCGATCTGATGACAATCCAACTCGTGCCTCAAGGGCACGGTGGCATCTTCGTTTGTGAAGAATTGTGTGCGGTCGCCGGTTTGCGCTGGGTTCCATGGGATTCCATGGTTTCGTTTCTTGACCAGGGGTTGCACGGGGTTCCTTAGTCTTGTTTCCTTTGGTCGTTTTTCCATACAAGGTTTTCCCTGGGCACCTTGGAAAGGCTTTCCTCGGGTTCCCTGGGTTCCCCGGGTTTCTTCTTGTTTCCTTATTGGTTTAGGATAGCCAGCCATCGGGTTCCCTGGATTCCTAGGTCTTGTTTCTTTACTGTTTTTGAAACGCCCTCCTCGGGTCCCTCAGGTTCCTTGGTCTTGTTTCTTTACTGATTTTAATGTGGTCTTCCTCGGGCCCCCAGATTATTTGGTCTTGTTTCTGTACTGTCTTTGAAGATGCCTTCCTCGGGTTCCCAGGATTGCTAGGTCTTGTTCCTGCACTGCTTTTGAAGATGCCTTCCTCGGGCTCCCCGGGTTGCTAGGTCTTGTTGCCGTGCTGTTTTTGACGAGGCCTTCCTCGGGCTCCCCGGGTTGCTTGGCCTTGTTTCTTTACTTGTTTAAAGATGGCCTGCCTTTGGTTCCCCGGGTTCCTTGTCCTTGTTCTCGTAAAATTGTTGAAAGGCCTTCATCGGGCTCCCCAGTTTCCTTGGTCTTGTTTCCTTACCCGATTTTGAAGTGGTCCTCCTCGGCCCCCCCAAGCACCCTTGGTTTTGTTTCCTTACTGTTTTTAAAAAGGCCTTCTTCGGTGTCTCTGCCAAGCAGCGCCGATCAATGTCAACCAATGCCAAGCAACGCCAGGCAACGCCAGGCAACACGCATCAATCCAAGGCAATGCAATGCCAAGCAAGACAATGCAATGGCGAGCAGTGCCAAGCAATACCGCTTAGGAAACCTTTCCCCCAATTGGGGTCGCGCTGGGTTCATGTGACGTAGAGGCGAGCACCACTACATTGTACATATTCTGCAAAGGAGGCTTACGCCATTCCCCGACCCCAGAAGAGGGTACGTGCGGCTTCCGAGTTCGTATGCGCTGTTTGCCGCTTCCCGTCGTGCTGCCTGCGTACAGTCGTTGCCGATGCGTCCTCCTCTTCCTCCGCGTCTGTTGCAGGGTCTTCTTGGGGGCCTTAGGAGGAGGAGGAGGAGGAGGAGGAGGAGGAGGAGGAAGAGGAGGAGGAGGAGGAGGAGGAGGAGGAGGAGGAGGAAGCCGAGGAGGAGAGGAGGAGGAGGAGGAGGAGGAGGAGGAGGCCTACGGGGCGGCCTTTTGGAGCCTTTTCATGGGTCCTGGGCGCTTGTCGGGGGCCATTTGGGGGGCCTCTTGGGGGCATGCTGGGGGTCTCGAGGGGCTTCTTTGGGGGGGGGGGGGGGGGGGGGGGGGGGGCAGGTCCCTCCCTCTTGGGCCTCTCTTTGGCTCCTCTTGAAAAAAAAATGAAAACATCTCTTTGGCTCCTCTTGGGGCCCTCTTGAGGGTCTGGCCTTAGGGCCGCAGAAGCTGTCTCCAGGCCCTGTGGGGTGCCTCTTGGGCCAGTCTGGGGGGCGTCTCTGGTCTCGGGCCGTCTTGGATTTTAGAAGCCCGGAACGGCGTCTTGGATTTTAGAAGCCCGGAACGGCGAGAACGCGAAAGCCATTAAAATGATTCAATGAAACCAGAGTGACCCCAATTTGGGGGACGCTTCCTGTTGTACGGGCGCGTTGCTTGGAATTGCTTGGTGTTGCTTTGAGTTGCCTGGCATTGCTTGGCGTCTCTTTGCGTTGCTTGGCGTTGCTTGGTGTTGCTTGGCGCTGCTTGGTGTCACTTCGCGTTGCTTGGCATTGCTTGGCGCTGCTTGGCGTTGCGTGGCGTGGTATTGCATTGCTTTGTATTGCTTTGTGCTGCTTGGTGTTGCCTTTGCCTTGCTTGGCGTTGCTTGACGTTGCTTGGCTGGTCGGCGTTGCTTGGTGCTGCTTGGCGTTGCTTGGCACTGCTTGGCCGTGCTTGGCGCTGGCTACTGTAAGCCGAGGAAGGACATTGTAATAGGGGAACAACAAGTGGCATAAACATAAAAACTCGGAGGTCCGCGCGGATTTCTCGGATCGGTGCTGGACCCCCCCTCCCTGGCGCGCTCCGCGCGCCGGGGGCCGCGCCAGAGGCGGCGCCGGGGGGCCCCAGCGCCGATCCGAGAAATCCGCGCGGACCTCAGAGTTTTCTCCTCCTCCTCCTCCTCCTCCTCCTCCTCCTCCTCCTCCTCCTCGTTTTGTCCCCCTGTGTGAGGCAACAGGGGGCCAGGGAGCCTCGAGCCACGCCAGCCACCGCCGAGGCACGCCCACGGGCAGGAGGCGAGGCCAGGGAGGCCCGAGCAGCGCCCGCCGGCGCAGGCCGCGCCCCCCCCTGCCCCCCGGTCGAGCACGAGCGAGTGAAGACATCGGGGCTCCCTCGAGGGCGCGAAGTTATTCGCGCTTCGCGCTTCGCGGTCCTCGTTCCTTCTCCTCCTCCTCCTCGTCCTCCTCTTCTCCCTTTGGGAGGGCGGCGCGAGAGCGCGAAGTTATTCGCGCTTCGCGCTTCGCGCAGCGCGAAGCGCGAAGTTGGGAGCCCTAGGCAATGCAAACGGGGGTTCGCCAGAGCGCCAGATCTGCAGGATCCTGCAGGGCTGCACGCTGGTCGTTGGAAGTAGGTATATTTTTGGATTCCCAGATCCCAGTCCACTTCAAGCGCCTTCCTGCTTCCAGACTCGGCACGCTTTTTTGCCGTGTTTTGCTCTTCTCTGGGGGGGCTGGACCCAATCTACTTCATCCGCCTTCCTACTTCATGTTTTTACCTGCTTCTCCCGACCGACGTGTAGCCAGAGCGCTGGATCCTGCAGGATCCTGCAGGGCCAGGGGCGCTGACCCGGGTTTGGATGCACCACTCGGCAGGCTCTAGCAGGACATTGCAGGATCCTGCGAGGCCTGACTGGCCCGGGTCTGGATCGACCCGGGTCAGGAGATCCCCGAGAGAACCCTTCCAGGCAAGCCTGATTGTGGAACAGCCTGAGGAAAAGTAATGGTTTGTGCTTGACGCCCCCGTGGGTGCTCTTGGTGCCCTCTTGGAGCCTCCTGGGGGCGCCTCGGGCCGTCTTCCGGACATCTTGGATGTCCTTGAGGCCCCTCTGGCGTGTTGGAGGCTTTCTGGAGCCACATGGAAGGCATGTTGGGTATCTTGGCGGCCAAGGAGGGTGGATTTGGAGGTTTCCAGGGCCCTGAAGGTGCGTTGACGAGCTCGTGCCCCCACCCTCGCGGTATGTGTGTGTGTGTGTGTGTGTGTGTCCTCCCTCTCCCCAAAAACGGAATTTTGAACCGCAGGGGAAGGGGAAAAGGGGGGGACAGCCAAATGTCTCGCACGCTTTTCCGAAAACTATTTTGTGGCATAGACATGGCGCTAGCCTGTATTAGATTGTGTGTTCAGTGTGTTGTAAAGCCTTGCGTTGCATGCTGTATGGCGCTCTGTAATTCCATTATATCCTTCTGAGACAATTGCACGGTACTGCATGACTTTGTACAGCATGGTTTTGCATGCCATCAGTTTTGTTGCACTGCGCTCCGTCGTGCTACTTTGCGTCATAGAACTGTTTATGGTGCTACTTTGCATTGTGCCTCACGGCTGTATTGCGCGATCCCGCATTCTGTCATGTCCTAATGTTATTTGGCATTGTAGTGCGACGCATCGTGCGCTGCAGTCTGCCGTATTTAGTGGCGATCTTTCGTAGTCCAGCGCTCTTTTTTGCATTTCGGTGAGCTCAATCACTCTGCACCGAATTCGATAGTATTTCGTTACAGTCATTCACCTTCCAGTCCGATGTGCTTCAGTGCAGTTGGACCGCGCTACACCACATAGCACTGCACGAGGCCATAAATATAACGCACACTCGCGTCTGAACGCGCGTGCCTGCGCACGCGCACACATGTTGCGTACCTCCTTGGAGTCGTGTGCAGTGGCGTCTCTGAGAGATCTTCGGCGAGCTCTGTCTGCCCGCAGGACTACGAATTCTCTGGTCAACGCCAAGCAGAACGGCACTCCATTCCGGCACCTTCTGCTCCACGGAGCGCGGGGAGGGGGACGCGCATGCAGCTCAGGAGGCGGCGAAGGAGAAGGGCATTCGGGACGACCGAAGTGGGTATAGAAAGCATGGGTACAAAGACCGACAGCAGTTCTTGTTCCTTTGAACAGGACTCGCCGTCGGTGTCGCCGCGGACGCTGCCTGCCCAACAGCGGCCGCTGTTGGTTTTGGACAACATTTGTTTTTGGGCATCGTGCCCATTCTTCCCGGCAAGGGCATCGGCCCAGGGTTTTCTGTCTGTGTTGCGGGCCTTCGGCCCTGCACCAGAAGGGTGTCAAGCAGCAGGCGTCGAACTTGGCCATGTAAGAACACGTGTGCGGAGATGGGGGGTCTCCAACATGGGTCTCGGCACGCGCGCGTTCGGCACGTGTTTTCACGTGTTTCGGGCCACCGCGGGGCCGCAGGCGAGGGACCAAACTTGCTGGCGTCGGATTCCTCACGCGAAAAAGCATGTGCGCGGAGGAGGGGGGACCCAACATGCGCCTCGGCGTGCGCGCGCGGCGCTTGTTTTCAAGTGTCCACGGTTCCCGGGGGGACGCCCAACTTGGTAGCGTCGGATTCTTGACATAGGGAAATGTGTGCGCGGATGGAGAGGGACCCAACATGCGCCTGGCGCGCGCGCGCGGGGCACAGTTTCTCACGCGTCCACGGCCCCCAGGAGGGGGCCCAACTTGGTAGCGTCGGAGTCTTTACGCGTACAAATGCGCACGCGGAAGGGGGGGGGAGCCGACATGCGCCTGGCGCGTGCGCGCGCGGCACGTGTTTTCACGTGCCCACGGCTCCTAGCAGGGGACCCAACTTGGTAGCGTCGCATTCTTGATGCTGAAATCACGTGCGGGGGGGGAGGGGGGGGCCAACATGCGCCTGGCGCGTGCGAGCAGGGCACGTGTTTTCACGTGTCCACGGCCCCCAGGGGGGACCCAGCTTGGTAGCGTCGGATTCTTAACGCGTGAAAGCACGTGCGCGGACGGGGGGGGACCGTCCGACTCGATGTTTGCATGGATAGGTTTCCTCTTCGTGGGAACGCGATGTATCCTCAGTTTGCTCATCAAATCTGAATTCATTCGTTTACTCTTCATTACTGTGATCACCATGTTCTTCTCATCGTTATCCTGGCTCTTCTGTGTTACTCGCATCGCTTCATTTCTTCATCATTCTGCTCCCTCATCGTATTCCTTCTTCCTCCTGCTCCTCCTGTTCTTCCTGAATATCGTCGGCATCGTTTTCGTTGTTCTTTTTGACTACGCTCATTCTGTTATCCTCATCATGCGCCCCTTCGGGTCGCTGCCGCGCCGCGCCAAGGTGGGGAACGTTTGAAAAGGCACGAAAGCCTACGCGGCGAAGCTAGAGAAGCGCGCCGGATACATGGCAAAACGGCGCCTTCAAACATTCATCAGACTGACAGTGTTTTTATTCTTATGTGTTGTTCCAATGCAATCAACACTGACAACCACAGGTTTTCTTAAGGGTTTCTGTTTGCTCCTATGTAAAGGCAACGCCCCTTTCCTGGCTTCCATATTTTTCGTTTCCATGCTAAGCTTCCGCGGCCTCACAGAAAAAAAACAATACATTCATTACAATCCAAAAAGAATGTGTACATGAATCGCACATTGATTTTATTTGTGGTGGTTTAGGAATTGAATTAGATTGTTGGGGGCTGTCACATCGTCTTTATTGTAGGGAATTCAAATGGGGTCGCCGTGGGGCCGCTGAATCTTACAAAGAAAGCGTGATACATTTTCGTTTACACAATGAAGAAGCGGAAAAGTGGCTGTCGCAGGCTTTCCTCAGTTTTTCGTGTTCTTCTGGACGAGAATGCCTGCGTTTTCTGGGTTTTCCTTGATTGTTTGGTTTTCATGGTGAGCTTCTTTGGCTCCACGACGCTGCCTCTTGAAATCCTCTACCATCAATATCGAATTGTAAATGGACTGCAAGCTGATTATACTTGTGGTGGTTTACGCATTGAATGTGATTGTGCATGGATTTGCAATTTGAGTTTGACTGTTGGGCATTTCGCATTGTTTTTATGTGTAGGGAATCCTGACGGGGACGCCGTGGGGCCGCGGAAGCTTACCAGGAAAACCGGAACAATCAGACAGCGCGTAAAACGTTTGTGCTGCCACATGGAAAAACAGGATCAAACGGAGGAGCACATGTGACTGTCAGTGTTTTGATGTGTTGCAGCAGTAAAAATCGGGTGAGATGATTCGACCACCGAACAGGTTTTTATACTTGACCTGCAACAGAAACGCGGCCACCGTTGTTAATCCAATGCGCACGCCCTAGAAATCCGGTTGTCCTGGCGCCGCCAGGGGTCGCGGCCAGAGGAATGTTTTCCCGAGGGCCCCTCTCCATCGCGAACCCCGACCAACCCGGGCTTGAAATTCTAAGGCAAAGTTGAGTCACGATCCCGACAGAGCCTGCCCTGTTCGAGACCTACCCCCGTCGGTAGTCGTTGGTTTTGGTGACAGTGCCGACGAATTGCGAGTGACCGCCGATCTCCGCGATCGGTAGTCATCCGAGTTGTCCCATACATTCGGTTGTCCGGGGGTCACCGATGGGCGAGTTCGCCTTGTCGACGTCTGCAGTTCTGACAGGGCCATTCCCCGTGCGGCGGGTGGCGCAGTCAGGGCACGGCGGCTGGGCTCTCTGCGCCAGGGCGACCGCGCGTGGAATCTTTTGCCCAGTATGCTCGGGGCCTGTCGGAACCGTTTACGCGTACCTGCATCTTTCCTCCTGCCCAGCCGCACCTGGTGCCCCGAAAACCAGCGAGGGAAACGCCCTTGCAACGGTAACAGTGTGGTCACTTTCTGTCGCCGGATGAAAAGATACTGACACTCACTGGCTTTCCTCAGTTAGTCCCCTACTCTTCCCTGTGAGAAAAAGCTTTTTCGTATTTGTTTGTTTATGTTTTCCTCGTAAGCTGCCGTGACCCCACGGCGCTGCTTCTGGACACCCTCAAAATCAAACTCAGTATGTACATGGATTTTACACGTGGTTCTAAGTGCGGGAGGTCACAAGTTGAAGTTGGTTGTTTGAGCTTTCCAATTGATTAAAACCTTGAGGATCTCAGTGGCAGCGCCGTGGGACTCCTATATTGAAATCGTGTTTCGAATTTGCCTCTGCGGGGTTTCATGTGTAAGTGCTCTTAGCTCAACATATGAGGTGAACGCGTGCAGCAAACGGTTCATGTAATGGAGGATGACGATTAATAAATGACCGGGGGTCGTGTTCACGCGGCGGCGCCCGGGATGACGATTAGAAAAAACCGGCCGCGGGCTGGAAAACTATTTTTCAATCTTTCTCCTCCAGTGAGAAAATTAGGCAGAAATTGCAGAAAACTATGTTTTGATCTTTTTCTCCCATTTTTTATGAATCGTCATCCCGCATGTAGGTAGGCAGCAAACAAAAACATCTGGTTGCAATCGCACCAAAGGCGGATTCCTACGGGGGGGGGGGCAGCATGCGCACGGCGCGTGCGCGCGCGGCGCGTGTTGTCACACGTCGACGGCCCCCGGGAGGAGACCCCGTTCGGGGAGGGGGGCCAACATGCGCCTGGCGCGTGCGAGCGGGGCACGTGTTTTCGCGTGTCCATGGCCTCCAGGGGGGGGCACCAAGTCTTGTAGCAGTGGATTCCCCACGTTGAAAATACGTGCGCCAGGGGGGGGGGGGGGGGGGGGGGGGCGGCAACCTGCGCCCGGCGCGTGCGCGCGGAGCACGCGTTTCCATGTGTCCGCGGCCCCCCCAGGGGGCGAGCCAACGTGGTAGCGTCGGATTCCTGACGTTGAAACGGCGTGCGCGGGAGGGGGGGTGGGTGGCAGCATGCGCCTGGCGCGCGCGCGCGGGGTGCATGTTTTCATGTGCCCGTGGACCCCAGGGGGAGACCCAGCTTGGTAGCTTCGGATTTTCTGCGAGTGAAGATGCGTGCGCGGAAGGTGGGGGGAATCGAGTGCACCTGGCGCGTGCGCGCGGGGCACGCGTTCTCACGTGTCCACGGCCCCCAGCACACTTTGGCAGCGTCGGATCCTTCACGAGAGCAAGCGCGTGCGCGGGGTGGGGGCGCCCACCATGCGCCTGGCGCGTGCGCGCGGGGCACTTGTTTTCACGTGTCCACGGCCCCGCGTGGGTGGGGGGCACAACTTCTTGGTAGCTTCGGAGCCGTCATCAATAACAAAAACACGTCCGCGCGGAGGTGGGGAGGGCCCAACGTGCGCCCGGCGCGTGCGCGCGGGGCACTCGTTTTCACGTGTCCACGGCCCCTAGGGGAAGACTCAACTTGGTAGCGTCGGATTTGTTACGCGTAAGCGTTCGTGCGCGGAAGGGTGATGATGACGATGATGTTGTTGTTGATGGTGTTGTTGCTGCTGCTGATGATGATGATGAGGGTGATGATGATGGTGATGATGATGCTGCTGGTGATGATGATGATGACGATGGCGATGCTGGTGGTAATGCTGATGCTGACAATGCTGACGGTGCGGCTGATTGTGGTGATGATGATGTTGCTGCTGGTGATGCTGATGACGATGGCGACGAGGCTGCTGCTGATGATGATGTTGTTGCTGCTAATGATGTTGATTATGCTGACGACGATGATGACGCAGCAGATAATGATGACGACTATGCTGATGATGACGATATTGATGCTGATGATGATGATGCTGATGATGCTGGTGATGATGCTGAGGTGTTGGTGGCGATGGCGATGACAATGAATGGTGATGGTGGTGATGCTGATTATTATGATTATGCTGATGACGATGATGTTGATGACGACCTTGACGACGATGATGATGATGATGATTGCGATGATGATGCTTATGATGAGGGTACTGAGGATGTTGCTGCTCATGATGATGACGACGATGACGTTGATTTTAAGGAGGCGAACGAAGATACTGATGCTGATGAAGATGTTGGCGATGGGGATTGTGGTGGTGGTGATGATGATGCTGATGATCTTGACGATGATGATTCTGATAA